GAGGATGGGAAGCCTGGGAATGGTATTTCCCAGGGTTTTTTTATTTGACAAGAGCTGTGGTCACGAGCCGGCTCATCCCGATGGAAAAGCAGGACGGGCTGCTGAGCTGGCAGCTTTACATGGGGACAAGCTGTGAGGGGACATCGTGACACATCCCAATGCAGCGAGAGGGGACAAGGGGGTGGGGATGCTCCCACAGGACAAGGACAAGAACCCATATTCATGTCCCGTGAAGCCTCCAAGCACAATTTGTACCGAAAGGAGGAGGTTGGGCTCTTCCTACACCAACACAGGCTCATGTTCTCCACACCAGGGTGACAATCCCACATCCCAAGCGCTCTCAAACACCCCACAGGGAAGATTAAAGCCCTCCTGCAGCCCCTACCGTCATCATGTAGTCCTGGAGCAGCTCTGTGGCCGTGGTGCTCAGCTCGCTCTCGCTGACCGTCTTAATGTGCGGAGACTGCTGGGTGGAGAAGGAAGAGGGGGAGTTGTCGCCCGCATCCAAGGTTTCTGGAAAGGAACTGGAACAGAAACAAGAGTTGGAGTCCTCAGGAGCTGCTCAGGAAGGTTTTGTAGCGCTGGTGCTGGTGTTTGTGGCATGGGAGAGCGGAGAGGCACGTGGAGATGCAGTAAGGCTCTGAAGGCACTGATATGGGCAAAAACTCCTCCAACTGCCTTCTCACTGCAGCAATGCAGGGAAGGAGTCCCAAACCACCTTATTTTGGCATTAAATGTGAAATTTCCAACTAGTGTTAATCAATTTTAAACAGCTGGCTTGGTCACCAGGTTTTTTTTCAGCCCACAAACGCTATCAGCGCTCACCGACTCAGGAGGGAAAGAAGTCTTTAAAATAAAAGGTTTTTGGGAAAACACTTTTCCTAACCCCAGCCGCACTCCACCAAGGGAAAGCTGCACCAAATCCCCGCTCTGCTGACGCAGGGGGGGGCTGCACGTACGCTGCATACGTGACCTCCCCTGGGGCACCAGAACCATCCAGCCACGGGCGTGGAGACCGCGGCGCCGCGTACAAACGGCGCCCGCTGTTTCAGCCAGAGCCAGCAGAGGCTTTTCAATGTGCAGACGGCAGCGGTTTCTGCTCTTCTGGGGGTTTGAAAGCCCTCAGCGAGGCTGCACTAACACGACCGGGTGCTGAGGGTTTCACTTACAAAGTGCTTGCTTCCGTTTCGTACGATTCCTTCACGTCCACTTTTGTAGAGGAGTCGTCTGCAAGGGAAAAATTGGAGAGAGAGAGAGAGAAAGAGGTTGAGCAGGAGAAATGTGGTGTTTTTCTTATGCTGTCACCTACACACACTGAGTTTTGGCTTGGCTTTCAGAGCTGGGAAGGCAGCGGGGGTGGTGCCGGGGCAGGGCTGGGTGCAGACTCAGCAGCGATGCTGAGGGGTTGTTTTATGAAGTGCTTTCGTCTATGGAGAACAGAGAGGGACAAGGATGATGGCTGATGGGCCACAGCCCCACTGGGGACACAGCAGCAGACAAGAAATGGTCCTTGTGTCCTTCCAACTCACACAAAATTAAAGCAGATGAGGGTTTGGTGGTTTTGTTTTCAATACTCTACAGGAGGGAAGCCACCAGGAGGGCTCTGACCTCAAAGGGTGGCAGGAGGAAAGGTGATGGACATGGGGAAAGATGGGGAGACACCAGAAACCAACCCCATCCTGGACTGCATCCCCACAGCGTGGCCAGCAGGGCCAGATCAGGGGGGATTCTGCCCCTCTGCTGCGCTCTGGGACCAGAGACCCCCCCTGCAGGGCTGTGTCCAGCTCTGGGCCCCAACACAAGAAGCCATGGAGCTGTTGGAGTGCAGAGGAGGCCACGCAGATGCTGAGGGGTTGGAGCAGCTCTGCTGTGGGGCTAGGCTGAGAGAGTTGGGTTTTTTCAGCCTGGAGAAGAGAAGAGAAGGCTGCGGAGAGACCTTAGAGCACCTTCCAGGACTGGAAGGGTCCAGGAAAGCTGGGGAGGGACTTTTGAGAAGGGCTGGAGTGATGGGAGCAGGGGGGATGGCTTGAAACTGGAATTTGGGAGATTGAGAGTGGAGATTGGGCAGAAATTGTTGAGTGTGAGGGTGGTGAGGCCCTGGCCCAGGTTGTCCAGAGAAGCTGTGGGTGCCCCCTCCCTGGCAGTGGCCAAGGCCAGGTTGGCCGGGGCTTGGAGCAGCCTGGGCTGGTGGAGGTGTCCCTGTCCATGGGGGTTGGACTGGGGGGGCTGTGAGGTCCCTTCCCACCCAAATTATTCTGCGATGCTATGACCCTCAGACAGGCCAGGTAAGGAAGCAGCAGATGGGGAGAGCGCGCTCTTACCGCTGTGTAAGGACATGTGCCGCGTCGGCGTGGACGCCCCATCAAATATTGCTCTGTCCAAGAAGTCTATGGTGGACTCGGTGTAAACGATCTGGAAGACTTGGCTGAGAAGTGAGCACAGCTCCTCGGCGGTCACCTGGGGAGGGAGCAAAGAAGGGCTGAGGATATCCCCATGGTTCATCTCCCTGTGTTGGGCAGTACTGGTGCAGTACATCTTTTTTTGGCTACGTAACCTCCATCCTCAGTAGGTGCAGGCACCCCAGGGAGTGTCAGAGGTGAAAACTGCACCATGGAGGCAAAGGCTTTCTGCTGTAGAAGCAGAAGCACAGACTGAGATCAAAATCTCTGGAGCCAGACACCGGATGAAACAAATTTCCAGGTCAGCATCAGGAAAATGCCCTGCTTTGCAAAATCCCATTGTGGGGGGAGATTCAGTCGTCTTCACCCATTTCCTGCTGCTGGAGAAAGCTCTGGGTAGCAGCACCAAGGGAAAACCAACTTCTGATACCCTCTGGTGTCCGAAACAGCTCCTGTTTTCCTCCTCTACACAGCAATTTGTGCGCCAGCAAAGCCCAACCCACGCCTTGTGGTGTTAAAACCAGGCCTGTGTGTGTGACACAACCTATGGCCAGGTCACCCAGCAGAGGGGACACTTGGTGAGGGCAAGATGAGGCCACCCTGGCCCTCGTGGCTCTGCGCCTTCAACCTGAGAGCTTGTGGTCATGCCAGTTTAAGACACAGAAAACCTCTCAGTGATCCCAGTCCCAGCGTTGTCACAGTCACAGAGTGACTCTTGAGGCAACCCCAATGCAGGGCAGTGTTTGAATGGAGTGGTTTGAGTCTTACTTTGTTTTCTGTAGCCAGGACCACCAAGCAACAAGCTTCGACGGGGACCACCCCGCTCTCGGACAGCGAGCCCGAAGTCAGGGCTTTGGAGCTTTCAGCGCAGAGACTTTGGCTTGGGGAGATCCCGGGGTCCTGAGCTGAGGAAGAGAAAAATCGTGATGGGAAAGGGGAGAGAAAAGCAAGGGGTCCTTACACAGCAAATAAGATAGTGATGGGGATTAAAAAACCCCAAAGCAGGAGGGTAGAGGATCCCAAATCTGGGAGAAAACACCCAGGAAGAGGGAATTCCACAGGGTCAAAGTTGTTGAAAGAAAAGCCTATAATTTGGAGCTGGTTTCATTTCCACGGCTTAGCCAGCCTCAGAGATCCATCAGCACAATTACAGCCTCCTAAGTCACTTACTCATTTATGCTATAGGCTGTCCTTTGCCGTCAAGGGGTTTATAATCCCCTAAGTCCCTGTCCTTACAGCCTCTAAGCAGCTCAGCCTTCCGTCAAACGCTCCAGCCCAAAAAACCACGCGGGTTTGACACACACAGAGCTGCCAGGATCCAATCTGAGGCCCTCCCTGGGTATTACACGAAGCGAGGTGTGGCTGAAGTGATGGGGATCGCCCTGGTTATTCAATGGGGGCATTTAGAAACCCAGCACCACAATCAAATCCTCCCAGGAACCTGTACAAGGGTTGGGAGGAGCGGGGCAGCTCTGACACACACAGGGACCAGGCTTGGGGAGCCACCTTTACCTGCTCTCCTTGCTGACATCCAGACAGGACCCCATAGACCAGAGCAGGATGGGCAATAGAGAATATAAAATGTTACACTTAGAGGTGTGAAATTCTTATGAGGAAGAAATTGTTGATGCTGAGGCACTGACACAGGTTGCCCAGGGAGGTGGTGGATGCCCCATCCCTGGAGATATTCAAGGCCAAGTTGGATGGGGCTCTGAGCAACCTGGTCCGTTGAAGATGTCCCTGTTTGTGGACTGGATGAGCTTAAAATGCCCCTTCCAACCCAGACTTTTCTATAATTCAATGAATTATTTAGGTCTGTTGTCACTCTGCATCACCTTTGTACTGTTTCTGGTCAGGTTGGCGGCCATCCTACATGAGGGCAACACTGTGGGCTTCTGCCCCACAACCCCAAAACACACAACAACCCCAAAACCAACCCCAAGACACACGACAAGAGCAACTTTGCTGACAACACCAAACTGGGAGGAGTGGCTGAAACTCCATGGGGCTGTGCTGCCATTCAGGGAGACCTGGACAGGCTGGAGAGTTGGACAGGGAAAAATGTAATGAAATTCAACAAGGGCAAGTATAAGGTCTTGCATTTGGGGAAGAACAACCCCGTGGACCAGTGTAGGTTGGGGACTGAGCTGCTGGGGAGAAGCACAAGGGAAAAGGGACCTGGGGTGTTGGTGGCAG